GACAGTACGCCGGGGCACCGGCACCAGCCCCGCGGTCGCAGCAAGCGGCAGAGCTTTGCCCTCCGCCGGGGGGGGGACGACAGGGACATCCCTGAGCGAGCGCGGTCCCCGGGGTGTGTGTGTGTGTGTGTGTGTGTGTGTCACGGCCCCGCTCTCCCCTTCCCCGCATCCCGGCTTCTCCGCGAGGAAAGTCATTTGGCAGCACCTGCCGCAGCCTGCTGAAAACTTTCAGCTTCTGCCGCGCCTTGCAGACGCGCTCGGTAAAAATCCTTCACTACACCCCGGGGGAGGAAGTGCAGTCGCTTTGGGTGTGTTACCCATTAAACCAAGGGCCACCTTTTCCCTTACTCCTTTGTCACAAAGTCCTGCCTGTGCCTTCCACTCTAGAGTAGTCCTCGACTTCTTGGTTTCCTTCGCTCTGAGGCATGCACGCTTTGGTGTGGAATTTAATTTCAAAGGCTTGGGTGTACGTCTTCGGAAATGATGGTCACTGTGGCAGAAAGCTCGAGTATCTTTTACCTGTCTGGCTGTCAAATGTGTGAGGCTGAGGATATGAACAAAGATAAAACCAATTCTTCTGGAGTTCCTAGAGGGAGGTGTATGTTGACGTTAGAGGCACAGTGCAGCACTGGGCTAGTTCTAAATTAACCCTGAAGTGGGTAGAACTGGGGCTGGAACCCTTCAGGTGCAGAAGTTGCTGGTCTTCAGTAATAACATGCCAGCCCTGTTACAGTATTGTGCACTAGAAGAGAGTTAGCCCACGATCTCCCTTGCTTTACGGAGCAAGAAGCTTTGTTCTTAACTCTGCATCCCCTCCAGGTGTGTTTGGCAGAGTGAAGATGAGTGGTGAAGAGATTCTTGTGTGTGCAGTACAACTTGGAGAAAATTTCTGCCTCTATTTTGCAGGTAATTACTACCCACTGCTGAAAGACACATTGTCTTCTTTCTGCATAGAGTATCAAAATCTGATACACAATTCAATCCTTTTTTTGGGCTGGCATCCCAGGTTTTGTAGAATCTTGTTTTTCCCCCTCCCAGTGTTACCTGAGCAATCCTCAAAGCAGTTGCAATCCTCACCCACTTAGAGTGAGAGTTCTTAGATTATGGAGCCAGGCTGTTCACTGTAAAAACAAGGAGTTTGGGACAGTTGTCCCAGTGTGTTAAGAGGTCAGTACCATATTATTGCTGAACACCTTAAGCATTTAATAACTTTTTTGGTTTGAATACTGATTAAAACCAATTCCTTGATCAGTCTGATTTAATGTAATTTTCCTATAAGCTTCAGTCTGAAGTACTGTTAGCCAAGTATCTGAGTCAGTGAAATATTTGTTGCTTCATACAATAAATTCCTGTAAAGGACACTCAGAAAGGTTGGAATACTGTGGGGTGAACTTGGAATAAGTGGATAACTTACGATCTTACAGGATAAAGTTAGTCAGAAAACAGTTCCTTCTTTAGAAGCAATTTGTAATGACTGTTACTTGTCCTTTTGCTCACTTAGAATAAACGTGCCAACAAAACCAAAAATTTACATGCCATTTATTCCTTGATTTACAGGTTTAAACGGACCTGAGCTGCTCACCTTTAAGTAACCCTAAAACATATTGCATGCCTCTTGGTTTGGTGGTAACACCAGTTCTCAGATGACTGGTGGTTTCATCATTCTGCTGAGTTTTATTTCTTATGCTCACAAATAAAACACCCTGTAGGGCTAGAACAGCTCAGCTGGTGAGTCAGTGATGCTGGAGAGCACAACTGTAAGTGCGTAGGTGGCTGGCTGGTGTCCAACCTTGCAGAACAAAACTAGATAGAAAGTGGCGCGCTTTTTCTGGGGGCACAGCTTAATGTTGTTTTTTTCCTTTTTTTTTTCAATGCTTGCTTGGAACCAAGATGATGATGGTAAGATGAAAGCTCATAATTTCTTAACTTCATTATCAATTTTACCTGGACTAATCTGCTCGTGCATACTAACCCATAAATGCTTTGTGTGCCTTGGAGAACAAGTTTTCAAATTGATAATGGCTACTGGAAGAGAGCCATGGCTTCGCCTTCAGAGTTGATGTTGCTTTGTTTCTTCCTAAGGTAGAGAATAGTGTCTCCCCTAACAGACAGACCTTTTAATACAATTCTAATTGTTGGGCAAAAGATAATAGCTACAGTAGCTTACTTGATTCTGCACAGACTGCTGTATTTTGGGAAATCCTTCGGGGTTGTTACAAGCTGGAGGTGGAAAGAATGACATGGCCTCCATTTTGTTTGTGATTGCTATTCTAAGAATTTATTTCACCTGGTATTCTTAATGACAAGATTAACCCTGTAGCAAACTGTTAAGATCTGAGGAGATTACAGCTCTTTTAATATTTCTGCAGGGCTGGAATGTGATGCCTTTTGTAAGGAGAAAATTCTCCACAGAGTCCTTCGAAATGTAAATAGCCAGTTGCTTGTGGTTCGACCAGATTTAAACATGGCAGCTTTTGAAGATGTGACAGATCAGGAGATGAAAGCTGGTACGCTATTCTTCAAACATATACCGTAACCACTGTACTGCTTCTTTATTCTAGATGTGCTCTTGCTCTTTGTAATCACTGACTCTGAATGATGAGACTGCGAGTAAAGACTTAAACTTAGTTTGTAAAACTACAGCTAAATTAAGAGAGATGCAATTTTGTATCTTATGCATTGGTAATGGATTAGATTCCTGGATTAGACTGAAGCCTGCAGGATGTCCCATGCAGAAAAGGGCTGTTAAGATTTTTGATTAGCTATGATCACAAACTACGTTCTTTATCCTTTTTTTGGTTTTTTTTTTGTGTTGGATTACAAAAAATAATTTAGGTTTAAATAATGTATTTAGCACTAAAAGCTCTTAGTTTCTTCTTAGAGCAGTAGTTAACAATATACTTAACAGTTTTGGCTTCAATTTGGGGGGGGGGACGCCTTAACAATTCACTCAGAACTGTATTTGTTGAACATACTTATCTACAGATTGCATGTATACAGATACAATCTGACTTACAGATGACTATTTACAAATCCAATTCTCACTTTATGCATGCATGTAAAAGGATTTGAACATCCTACCCGTACTAACCGGTAACTTCACAGGCTTTCCTGCAAATTTTGGTTATTGAATGACTGCAGAAAGTCAAGTATATGCTACCAGCAGTCTTAAAAATTCAAGTCCTGGCTCTCCTGTCAGGAAAAGTATCCTGGGAAGACAGCAGTTGCCAGTGGAATGGTAAGGCATAATATGGTTAAGTTGTTGCAGCTCTCTCCTGAGTAGACTATTAATAATAAACAATTTATATTTAGGCAGTGGAATGCACTTCAACATTCACTATTACAAAACCACCACACCTTCAGCAGGGATGCCTGTTGCATTCAGCATCCAGGTGGAAGATAAAAATTATTACATGTGTTGTGAGAAAGAATGTGGGAAAATGATAGTTCGATTTAGGGTAAGTATCACCTTATGTATGTATATATAAGTAGTAGGCACAGTTAAGACTTGAAACATGTGAGCTCAAACAAAACTGCTCAGCACTTGTGCTGGGACTGACAAATTCCCTTTTTTCTTCCTCAGGAAGGAGAAGTTCCCAAAGAAATTCCTGGTGAAAGTAATGTAATCTTTTTCAAAAAGACATTTACATCTTGTAGCTCCAGAGCTTTTAAGTTTGAATACTCCCTAGAACGAGGAATGTTCTTGGCCTTTGAGGAGGAAGGCTGCTTAAGAAAATTAATTCTAAAGAAACTGTCAAGAGAAGATGAAGTGGATGAAACCATGAAGATAAGTTTCTAACTTCAGTCAGAATGAAAGTCACAACCTATGACATCAGTCTTAAAATATATTTTGGCTTTCAATAAAGGAAATCTTATTCTTTCTTCATCTGAGGCAAGCCAGTTTTATGTTTTTAGCTACTATAAATCAGGACAAAAATGAGCATCTTACAAAGGAAAATAAATTAAAATTCTTGGCAAAAAAAGCGCAGAAGAATGTTTTACGGTCAGCTAGAAGGAAAGAAAATTACACAATGAAGAAACAAGAACGTGCATGTCTGTAACAGTCCTGTATAGTTTGATCCCTAAAATCTTTACTGCCTGTTGATCAAACAGCTTGTGAATTCTGTTTCTCATAGATGTAGACATACTTTGGGGAGGGAAAGAAAACCCCTTAGAATAAGAGACTTCATAAGGAAACTGGCAAATAAAGACTTTAAGATTTACTTTTTTGCCTCAAGATTATTTCCTGAGCATCTTCATCAATCGCAGTTTCACAGTGACATTCTCACTCACCTTCAGATGAAGTAGAAACAACAATTTTTAACTTACTGGAAATCTTTGCTTAGAAAACTCCTAACTTACCTGAAGAATTAAAGTTCTACTAAAGCTGTTTGTCCTCAGAGAGCCCAAGGAAAAAAGAATTATGCTTTTAAAAGTTAACAGTAAATTGTAGGTTAGTGATGAAATGAGACATTTGTCCTTCTGAGAATTTGGAACAAATGTAGATAGAGCTGGCTCCCATTTTATTCTGTGTATGTGATAATGCAGCATATATTGGGGTCAAGCTGTGAACACCATTTCACATTCAAAGCTGGGCAAGCACTGGATTTCACCAAAACCAAAATTAATGTTGTGTATTCTGCATATTTAATACTGAGCAAATCGATCTGGCATGTATTCTTTTCTCTATGTAAGTGTTAGTCTCCCTCTTCTGTTCCAACTCCAGGTAGTGATAACCTGAACACTGGGTGCAGCTGGGGCCCTTCAACTTTGCCACGCAGAAGAGCTGATACAATTGTCATACCCCAAACAGGCAGAAGTTAATCAGAGAAAACAGGAAGGCCTCTGTCATGAAATGGAGAAAAATCCTCAAACTTGCAGAAGAGAAAAGACAAGTCTCAAGACTTGTTTTGGTAAAACCCAAACCAAAACTATAATTCCAGGGGCTTTAAAAAAGCAGGGGCATGAAATCACTTGTGCTAACCCTGACTGTCTCAGCTTTTCATGTTATGCTGCTCCTGCCATTTCACCTATCTGGCTGCTACCAGAGCACCTAGAGGCAGTGGGAAACCAATTTAGAATAAGATACAGCCACCACTGAGCACACTATCGGCTTAGGAAGAATTCACTGGAGGGGCAAAAACTCAAGAATGTATTTAACATGTCTGGATACTCAGTAGGGCTGAGTCCCAGTTTCATATTCCTGATGAATGTTCAAAAATGGAATTAGACCAAATGGTTACAGCCATCACAAGAATTAAGAGAAGTTAAGGGTAATTAAAGGGAAGTGATACAATTTCAACAAGATGGAGGAACAAGCAGATACTTAGAGAAACCTTTTAATTTTGCCTCAAAACTACAATGAAGCTCTCAGAGTTGTGAGCCCTTAACATTCCCAGAGCTCTTACACAACTCTCTTCTCACACAAGAAATCTTAAATACCACATACAGAAACATCTTGTGTTTGGCCTCAAAAGAGGAAGCGTCAAACACTTTCTATGATACATGCTCCGACTGTACAGAGGTACTTACCAATGACTCGTACATATGCATCTTCCTCACTATGACAAAATACTGAATGTTACGTTGATACCTAAATCGGACCACATCAGACAGAAGCAACCCTCTCGGTTCTGACCACAAAATTAGCAAAACAAAAGCAACTAACTACATGGTATTTCCAATGGTTACACAAGTAAATCAATAAATAAAAATTTCCAATCCAGATTTTTAAAAAATTAAATCAGTAAGGCTTGTAGAATCCCAACAGCAACTTACTGGTTTATTGCATAATCAGACTGATGGTAACACACAATTCTCTTCCTCTTACTATTTATAGTACCACAGAAGTACCATTAGAATGTGGAAACAGCTAACCACTCACTACTATGAAAGTCAGAAAAGATAAAGCAGAGAAGAAAGTTAAAAACCAGCATCTCCTTTCCCTCTGAAAACGTTCTAAAACCTACAGACATAGTAAAGAATGCTGCCTCCATCTCACGTCAAGCTATGATGGAAAGGGTGTGGTGGTTGTCATCACACAGGAAAATGTACCAGTGTTTATTTAGAAAAAAAAAAAAAAGTTGCAGATGAACATACACATTCTAAGGAAACCATGAAAGCCAGATGCTATTTATGACCCCTAAAATTAATCTGCACAGGTCTTTTTCTTCTCAATTATTACTGTATTTTCTAATGGGCTTTGCTCTTGTATTAAGTCACCTCTAAGAATTACAGCCAATATATATTCATAAAAAATGGTTTGTTTTATAACATCTAAGTGAAATAATGCAGAGTAACAGTATGAACAGTAATGTAACAGTATGAATTAGTAGTTGAACTTGATTTTAGAAAAAAACCCAACCATCTGCAGAGAAAACATTATTAGCGACCCAAAAGTAGTAAAAATCATGCACAATCACACACACGCAAGTTCTGTAAATTCTTTATTGTATGGATTAAGAAAACAGTATTCCCTTTTCTACATAACTCTCAGGGTCCAAGGAGTTACAGGGTGTGCCTTACATATGGTGCAGTTGTTGTGATGTCAGAAATAAGAGTTCAATTTTCTGCAAGTCCAGTTGGTTTTACAAAACAGGAAACCAAACAACAGTTGTTTTAGGAAAACACTCATTAAAGCTGCCATTACAAGGAAAGTTACCTTCAGCTATGTAAATCTGTCAGTGATGCAACTAATTGCTCCCAGTTTACAGTGCAGCTTAAATCAACTCACTCTCACCTCGACATTATCCACTTTAAATCTACTTTTTGTTTTCTAACTTTTACTGCTGTTGGATATTTCTTTCTGAAAGACTAGCTTTGAACTCGCTGCAGTACATACATATATGTAATATGGACCCTTGGTTATTTGTTTTGCATTAAATGTTGGTAAAAATATGATGAAGCAGAGGCAGCAGTGAACAATCATGTTTGTCACGGACTCGGTCGCATCTTAGAGGCTCCACAGCATGGCAACAGCCTTGCAGATACCAACATCGTGATAGTTAAAGTAGCAGAGGCCAGCGAAGGTAACAGCTGACAGTACGTACAGACCTGTATTGGCCAGTTTAATGGGTGTATCTCCATGGACATAGTCAGTTATTACCTGTCCAAGGCCCCTACAGAGTAAGAGGGAGAAAAAAGCTACAATCAGGAAAAAGCATTCCTCACTGAAATCCACCCAGATTGTGCAAGCATTCTGCTAAAATGGATCAAACACGTAACTTTTTTCCCCTGATATCATCAGCCTTTCCTAAAGAATGCCCAGTTCCCACCCAAAAAAGAAGACGCATTTATTTAAAAAAAAAACCCCAACATTTCACATACTCTATTAAAAAATACACATATTGGCTCAGAGTTTTCTTAATGGTACTGAGGAAACAAGGTGTCGAGCACAGCTCTCAGACGACAGCAGCTGCAGAATGTGTCCAAGAAACAGTGGGCAGCTTATCTGACTTCCAAGGACTGAAGAAAAGTAACCAAAGGAAATATCCTTCTTGTTTGAACAGCAAGGTATGGGACCAGCTATTGTCAAAAATGTACAGAAGGTTCCAAGATGTGCATTTAGATTAGAAAGCAGTGGCTATGAAAAAATGAGCATATTCCATTTTTTTTCCTAGGTCAATCAAATGGGAAGTGAACTCTTGGCCAGATTTAAACTATCTAGCCACAGGAAGACAGAGGATGCTATTAAACCAATGTGGTAGTTCTCTTCCTGAAAGCACAGTTTTATTTGCTTTCTGCAGTGACAGATGTCAACTTGGTAAAAAAAAGAAAACCATCTTTAATGCAACAATTTCCTTCCTAGGATTTTCTCTTGATCTAGCCTGAAACTGAAGGGCCCATGTTCCAGAAATTAAGACACACTAGTGACCTAGCAAGGTTCAAAGTCCTACAGCAGATGCCACTGCAAGTGAACACTGAGCTCAGTTTCACTTAGATGGGTTTCTAATACCATAAAGATGTCAAAAGGGGCACAACGAACCCCTGAATACACAGCGAAGAAGCAGAAAGTGGAAGCAGTCTGAAAGATGACTACTCTCAAACTGATATAGCTATTTTTTACAACTGGACAGTGCAATAAGGTCAAGTGCAAGCAGCACTTACCCTACCTTGAGCCTTCCAAAGTGCAAATAGATAAATAAGGCACATGCGACTTGGAATTCACAGGCTGCCCTTCAGCTGTCGTGCTGATAAGGCATTTTCATAGTTCTTCTCTTTGCCTGGCACAGTAAGACTGAGTCACACTAAGACTTCTCAGAAAAACTGGTGCGTGACTTTACAGCATGCTAATTAATTCACACAAAGCAATCACAGGAAAAAAACAGTGGCCCTGAGACCAAGGAAAGGAATTAGTGAGAAATAGCTGATGTGTGGTAGACACACAATCTAGCTCACAACATGACAGCTTCACTGGACAGAGAAATCTTTATTACATGCCAGCAAAACCAGAACACAGGTGTCCTGAGTGAGTCTATTCACAGGTTAGTGTCTGACTGATAACCACCTATCTATCTGAAGCACTATTTCCAACACATTTTAGGACAAAATTTCCTAAGGAAAAACATAGCAAAAGGTGAAAGAAAAACACCTCAAAAATATAAGCAACACTCCTCTGCAGTTTCTGATCAGCTACTAGAGGGATTATCTGAGCTGTTATGGCAAGCAAATGAATGCTTACAATCTTTTTTCTTTTAAAAATATTCTAGCACTGAATACCTATGAAAGTACAAGCAGAGAATTTTTCCTACATAGAAATGCCTTAAAGTTATTAAGACACCGTTTTCCAAGGTAAGAGTTTAATACTTGAGAAACTTTCCAGCTTAAAAAGAGAACAAAAAACCCCACACAAGTAGGGGAGGAATTCACTCTGAGCTGCACACAAGGCGTATTTCTCATGGGGGAAGTCCCTGCACTGTTTATGGAAAAGGGATTTCTAGTATGAACAATCCTGACCCTTTTGTCAACAAGAGACATTCACTAAAAAAATCAAATGTGCATGCACTGACAGAAAATGTCATCCAGAGAACCCATTTCAACACATCAACCTGCAACAACCTGTTCTATTGCCTGAAATTTCCCCCCATGGTCATACCCAGCATGGCACCCACATGCACATACAAACAAGTGATGAAATTCTCCAAAGGCAGGCAAGCTTAACTTCACGTATTTTGTATTTGAAAGAGCTCAGCCAAATATGTTCAAGGACAGCCACATTTCAGAGTAATTCTCTACTAGATTTGAGGGCTTCAGGAAGAAGCTCCCGGTCACAGTAAGGCAAGAATCCCTGGTACAACTTCATAAGGGCAAAAAGATTAAGAAAACCCGGCATCCCAATCTTGTCAAAGACCACGACTGACACAGAACTTGAAGAGTAAGGCCTTTGCTTGCATCTCTTTCCAGGTGCTTTATACTAGATTAGGAAATGTCAGTAGACTTACTGCCATATACAGATTTAAGACCTAAGGCTTGGAGACACCCTATCACTTTACTCTTAATTCTGAGGGACCTACTGTGCTTACCAGTGGCCATGGAGAGTGAGGGCTGCAGCCAGTGAATAATCCATGGCTGGTCCAGGATACAGGTAGGCTGCAGGAAGGAGACCCAGCAAGAGGACACTGACAGCTCGCTCACCTGTCCAGTGCAAAGACGCAGCCTTGGAACTGCCTGTAAGGAGAAGTATTTTTCAGTGCAAAGTTCCTGTTTGAAGTGCTGTAATCTTAAAACCAGATACCTCATCCTGAGCAGCACCACACGTGTTTTCTCTGACCCGATTACTAAGTTTTCATCCAAGCAAAACTTCGGTGCCTTTGAATCACTGCTACAGAATACGCACCTCTTTTACGATGTCTAAAAGGTTAATTTTAAATATTCTTCTCTTTGCTGCTGCTAAGAAAAAGAAGCTTCTTTTACTCTAAAGGAATAGAAGTTCAAAGGTAAAGTCAAAACAAACACCAGTCCTACTTTGGCAACCTGTGGTTCAGGCCTAAGGTCCAAGTCAACCATCACAGGAAAGAAGTGTCTCCGAAGGCAAAGCCCTTTTCTCTAATGAATTTCCTGACTTACATACTAGTTACTACTCCCACCTTTTGAGAAATGGCTTTGAGATCCAGATGAACACAATTACAAGTTCCAGTGAAACGGCACATCATGATAACTCTGTGCTCAATTCTGCCCAGGAACCAATATTACTATTTTTAACTGTAAACAGCAGATTAAACTGCTGGGACCATCACAGTGATGTATATGGTCTAGAAGTAGCCTGAAGGCTAAAGGATTTCAGTCCTCCATTGATACTCAGCTGGGTACAATCTGAACCACGTGACAGATGTCTCTAGAAACAGAAACACCAGTTAGGGAGCTCTGTAACCAGCTCTTAACTTTTTAGAAACATGCAAATACTATTAGGGAGGAAAAAAAAAAAAAATCCAAGCATCTAGAATGTTCTGGAGCAAACCAAAACCCTAACAGCATAAGCAATACTTTAAACCAGGATGTCAGGATCAGCCCAAGCTAAAAAAAAAAATAAATCAAGAACTGACTCTGTGAAATTCCCTTTATAATACAATAGCCCCAAAGTGCTTACCTAACACACAGATACTATCCATCCATCTAAACCAAAATGCAGATGTTTTTCTTTGGTTTTGCAAGAAGAAAGAAATTTAGAAAAGTGACAAGATAAGGAAAGCAAAGGACTTGAAGGGAAAGGGACCTAGGCTACAGACTAATGAGCTGCCCCTGTAGAACTCCCCAACCAAGAAGGCTGCACAGCGCATGCATGAAGGCTGCTGTTAGTACCAAGTCCTGAATAAAAGGAAGAAAACGGCTCAGATGTGTGGAAGTCCATTTCTTTTACAAGCCTTTCTCCATCCTCTCCACTTCTGAGTTGCACTGTAATGACTAGAAAACACCCTTAACCTCCAGTCACAACATTTCTCCTATCTAATTGAGCAACTTGCACAGACCAGAGCTTGGTCTTGCCAAGGTTATTTTTCATCATCTCTATAGTCTTGCCACATGGGGAGAGGGAAAAACAAGCTAAGAAATACCCTCTGCCTGCAGATCAGACTTCTCAGATTAATCTCAGTGAATCAGAAGCTCTACTGTTCAAAGCAAGAAAGCACAATTGCAGTGTTTTCGTGTTATTACCGCTACTGACCCAAAAGAAACGTTTAAACGCCGATTTCTTTTAAAATCTTTCAACCGTTTTCCCACAGCCGATCATTCTACCACCTTTGTTAACAGGCAAAGATTTACTTGTTTAACGTTAACATCTCCCATTTAAAGCCTTCCAGCACTCACACACTTAACACTGCCGCCGCAAACCCGAGCTTCACATCCGAGCAGCGTGGAGCCACCCGGCCCTTGCTTTAAACCCGAGGCGGGCACAGAGCTGGGAGGCGCGGGGGACGCGCTCTGGGGACAGCAGTAACCCCACCTCAGCCCCCCCCGCCCCGAAGAAGAGTTAATTCTTCCCAGCCCTTGGCTCCTTGGGCCATTTCAAATCTCCCGCCGGGCCCAGGCACCGCGGCGGACGCGGGGGCAACGTTCACACGAGGGATGCGCCGTGGGGCTGGACGGGGGGGGCACCGGCTGCCAAACCCGGTGTCGGCCACGGGGAAGAGGAGAGCCCCCCCCGCACCGCCGCGCACCCCGTCCCCTCCCCAGCCCGCACTCCGCGGAGCGGGACGTACCGTGGCCCTGCTGGGGGGGGCCGTGGCTCTGCCGGGCCGGAGCGCTGGGATCGGCGGCAGCCGCCAAGCCGGCGGGGCGGCGGAGGGTCCCGAGGAGAGCTGCGGAGAGAGCGGGGACGAGCGGTGAGGGCGGGCGGCGCGGCCGGCGGGCGCGGGGCCGGCGGAC